TTTTTTTAATAACACTTTTTTACAATGTTTTAAAATTTGTATGCTATATATAATAATAATCCCTTAGGTAGCCATATTTGCCAAAATCCAATCAATATAATATTGCACACTCGAATAAACGCCGGGAATTTCTGGACGCGCACAACCCACGCCATACGCGACGACACCGATCAGATAAAAACGCACGCTGCCATCAATGGTCTGAAAGCGAAAAGGCATATTTTATTACTTCCCAATCAAAATCTGCCAATCTTACCTCTGGCGCCATCAGCGGTCCACCTGAGTCACCTTGACACGTATCCTGCCCACCGGATAGCACACCGGCGCATATTACGCCCTCATCGAATTGATTTTCAGTGACTAGCCGATTCATGCGTCTATAACTATCGCGACAGACTCTATTAGCGAGTATAGGTACTTGTAGCTCTTGCAGGACATTCGAGGAGGCGCCTCCTTCCATGGTTTTGCCCCAACCCACAACAAAGGGGTTATAATTGAGATAGGATTTGCTGCGTAATTGCGCCGAACTTGGTAGACAAATGGGTTTTATGTTATCTGTGACAAGAAAGCGTTGCATCAAACCGGATTTATACGAGGAGTGTTTTAAGATACTTACTGCTGAATTGTACCTCGCCTGCAAGCCATACCATGCCGATATCATTGCGGCCATTGCGACTATTGTAATTGGGATGACGTTCTTTCTGTTGGTAAAATAAAAAGTAATAATAACTATATTATGTGAGGAAAGGAAATCAATAACGGTTAATAAGTTATTCCACATAAATCAATTTGCTAAAAGGATAAGAAATTTGCCTTAAATTGGAATTCAAAGTTTTTGTTACAAAATTACAGCTTAACAGGCAATTCTGACAACTATCTACAACGCCCTTTCTATCTTTCAAAAGACTTTTTGGAAGATATCTCCAAATGAGGGGGTCTTTTTCTGTTTGTCTTTTACCAATAAGTTTTCTAAAAATTTTTTAAATATATATATTTTTTTTAAACAATAAAAACTATAAATTAAAAGAAAATTTAATTCAACAAAGAAAAAAGATTAAAAAAAGAAAGAATTAATAAAAATAAGTTTATCAAAATTATGCGAAATTAAAAAACAAACATTTACAGCCGGTTTCACTAGCAATTAAAATGGAAAATATATTTTTATTTTCTGTGAATTTCCATATAAAATTCAAAAAAATAAAATAATTTTTAACTTAAATTGCATTCGTGAAATTGGCTGTTAGTTGTAAAAATTTAATTCAACAATTTTATGGAGCTTGGGGCCGTTATTAATGAAAATTTTTGTGGAACAAAAAAAATACATTTTGGTAGAAGTTATAGCTGCTATTTCGGTGATCACCACATCTCCTCATTAGACTTCTTTCACTGGGATTCGATCCAACGACCCCAGCGGCCATCGCCAGTAGTCTACCCACTGAGCTACCTATGTACGTGTTTTTAAATAATAAAATCTTAAAATATATAAACGAACAATAATAAAGAAATTTAAAAAAATTTAAAAATATCTTTTTTTTTTAAACAATAAAATCGAACAATTAAAAGCAAATTAAATTTAAAAAAGTTTAATCGAAAAAGGAAAAAACAAAATAAGTTCCTAAAAATTAAATTAAATAAAAAAAAAAATCCTTTTAAAATAATAAAATTTAGATATTAAAAGAAAGTTATATTAAAAAAAAATTATCAAAACAGAAAAAAATTAAATAAGTTTCTAAAAATCTATGAAATTAAAAATCTATTTTTCTTTTTAAAACGATAAAATCTAAGAATTAAAAGAAAATTTAATTAAAAAAGAAAGAATAAGTGTTCAAAAAAATAAATGAAATTATTTTTTTTTCCTTTTAGAACAATAAAATCTAAACATTAAAACTGAACATTTAATTTAAAAAAGAAAGAAAATTTAATTTAAAAAATAAAAGACGAAAAGAAGTTCCGCTGCCCGAGTATTCGAACCTCGGATGTTTCGAATGATACTCAGTGCTTCCCCTACTTGGCTATTGCGACTGTCGGAGCAGCGCAGGCAAAATGATGTACATCTCCATTTGGAACATGCTCAAGTGACTATTGTCAAAAAAGCTTTTCCTATGTTTTTTATTGCTCAGAATTTTCTATTTTATTTAATACCCATATTGTTATT